GGAGATTGCGTTAGCAATCGAAGAGTTATTGTAGGAGAACGATCTGTCACTCACTAAGTCACTCACTCACTCACTCACTTTCCTGTAAACTGCGTTGTTGCCTTAGTAACTGCTATCTTGACTTATTCATTTTTAATTATTCATCTTCACGGTCTACCTGTTTCTTTCCTTTTTTTTTTTCGAAGAGAAAGAAATTCATGTCCTCGAAGAGGCTCGAACTCCGGACCTCTCGCGCCAACGGCAAAGACACTGCCACTAGACCATGTGCCATTAGACATTACGTCATGAGTATTTTACTAGCTTTTATCCGACACCCGATCAATCAATGGGTTTCCTGTGTCATAATCGATAAAACTGCTAAGGAGCGAAATGTCGAGATTCTTTTGCGTAAAATGTACAAAATTAAATAAGTTTTTGAAACGGTTTCCGCTTCGAGTGTGTCAGCCAGTCACTAGATCCATACTTATTCTTGGCGAACCATTATGAGGAAACTAAACACGTGTCTCGGGCAGACACAATCAACATTTTGACGCTTTATAGATTGTCATACTGGCAGTGATGAATCATTGCGATCTTTGGCAATATCGATTGGCAATACCTTGAACATTGATATTGTAGTTTATTTACCACGGATGTGAATGATTAATTTTTGTTTACTTATTTCTGTACTTCAGAACCTTCTGAGGCAACAATGTTCAAGAAAAAAATGACTTCAGGTAAGTAGGAAAATGCACACAATAAAAAACTGGCCGAGGAACAGATCTCAACTACATATAACATTACTATGTCTATTTTCTTGTTCTTCAGCAGGACCCTATGAGATGTCTGAGACCTCAGGTTAGAGGATTAGACCAGCATTGACTCTAAATTACACTTGGCTTTGATCATTTTTCTTCCTTAATTGTTTTTCAGGCCCTTCTGAGACAAAATCGAAGGAAAAAATGACAACCGGTTAGTAGAATAATACTAAAATGAAATAAAATCATTATTAAAAACGGGCTACACTACCTAGATAGAATGATTCCGCATCTGTAACCACAACAGATTTTAGCCCGAGGTTCTGGTTCTCTTCTGTATGCATAGTAAACTAACTTTGCCTACCCACGTTTCCTAACGTTTTCTTGTTGTTTCCTGTAGKACCTCAGCTGCATGAAGACGAACCGATCCCTTAGGATCTCTTAGGAGTGGGAGTGCTTGACGGAAAAAGAAACCTAAACAGTCAAATCAAAGTTAATTACAGTATTGAAACAATAGAATAGTTGAATCGAGAGCAATATGCTGTGATAGTTGCAGGCGGAAACTGGATGTTTCGAAAAAAAATCATTGTCGCCCCAGACGTGTAGTTCGAGGACGACTATAAAGATTTGAGGAATATCCAGTTTCCAAGGGCAACTACCACATTAATGCTCAAGTTGCAATCTGCTCTATCGTTTTTATTATTTTCTAAAGCAGCACTGATAGAAACCCTCAACCAATGAGAGCAGAGAGGAAAATTTGTTGTTGAATTATACATAGATACTCTCATTCTCTCCATGCGACTGCTTCGTTGGTTTCACGCATCAAATATTCTGAAATTAAAACAGTTCATTGATACTAAAAATATGTAAGGCATTCCAATAACCTTTTTTACTGCGACCGTGGTATTTGTGGGTTTCGATTGTACATCGTTTTAAGTAAGAGTTAATATTGTTATCAAACATTCTTAACAGTCATTCTGGAAACGATGTCGAGCAGTGACGATTTGTTTATAGCTCAAAATACGTTTGACATCATACCTTTGCCGAACTTTGATATTTACGATTTGCTATCGGATTTGGAACTCCGCATGCCTCTGCACTCGAATAACGATGACAAAGTCTGCAGATGGGAAAAATGAGAAAAATTACCATTGTTTTTGATGTTGAACTCGCTCGAAAAAAATGCGAGGGAAGGATTCAAGAAGAAACAAACTAAAGTAACAAATGGCCGTGTGTACGTGCTTGGATAGAATGCCCGGGGAGCGGAGAAATACGAGTCACACCGATTACGTCTGATTCATACACGTTGGTCAATTCCGAAGAATAGATTCTTTTAAAAGTAACGAAGATCTTGGTTATTGTTGTCTCTACTCTCTGATGAACTTATCAAGAAAAGCTGCGGGACTCGAACGTATTACACTCTAAATCTCCTCAAGTTTTGCTGGCCACACTGATCTTTTTTATGGGAAAAATAGTTTTTATGGGAAAAATAGTTTAGTTTACTTGTTTATTTGATATTCAGAAGGGAAATGATGGGGTTGATGAATTGAACTGAATAACTCTTTATAAACTCAATGGGCTATATATGAGTGATCCCTCCCCGGCTTTAAGTTTCCACATATATACAACCCTATGAATAACAAAGAAAACCTAGTGAATTGGAAACTAATTCAACAACAAACCCTCCGCTCTCATTGGTGGAGAGGTTACAGTTTAAATCCGGGCATTATGCCGTGATAGTTGCCCTTGGAAACTGGATGTTCCTCAAAACTTCATAAAGTCGTCCTCCAACTACACTTCTTGGGCGACTATTTGTTTTTCAAAAAATCCAGTTTCTTCGATCAGCTAACACTGCATAATGCACCTGATTCAACTACTCTTTGAATAGAGAATGAGCTATTGGCAGAAGTTAAGCTGTCTCCAGCACTTCTTCATCTCCTTTAGCCTTAATTCACAATTTGTACTATTTTTTTTATAGCTGAAATAGTATTTTATAGTATGACCGTTTAGTCACACTGTGGCTTGGTGTCCAAACTAGATTTTCACAGAGCATGTGAAAATGATGTTTTGTGCGCTAGAAGCCTCTGACAAGGCATGAATCAGCCTCTTCAATATTATTTTTATGAATGTACAACAATGTGAGTAAAACACAATTTCGTAGTAATGTTAGAATTCATACCTGTACCGAGGTATCAAGAAACAATTGTAGTATCATCAACAAATCTTCACCTTATGATATTTCTTTATTTTCTTTATTTCTTAACGATTAAAATATTTCACACAAAAAAAGATTAAAGACACGATACATATAATACATATAATACAACATTGAGTACTCAAGAATGTTGTGATATTCGTTGGTCACGTACAAATCGCCGCTTTAGGGAGTTTTATTAGTAAGTACTGCATGCTTTAGAGGCCTGACGTCTAGCTCCATATAGTAGTGGAGAACATATGAATGGAAAGTACTTTTTTAGAATCGCCGTGTAAACCAGTAACAAAACATTTTTATGTTGGAATGCATTATGCAGCATCACAGTATTCAGTACTTTTTCAAATACCTTCATGTTCTATAAAGAGGTAAATCTTATATCCTATAGGTTAATTAGGTACACTAGTTTGTATATAGCTAGAACATCCATCAGTTAATTATTCAAACGGTTAGATTTTTGCTCGTTCTACGGGCAACAAAAGCAAGTGGCGAAGAGTGGTAAAATCGAACTTCTACTAGGACCAGCGTAGCTGGACACATGATTCAAAACAAGAAATGATTAGAGAGATGTCCAGGTCATTTAGTTGCATATTTTTTTATAATTGTTTTGCGTAATTAACTCCCTGACTACTCAGGTTCTACTACTAACTTTCATAGTTTCGTTTTGGTAGTGTTAACACTGGAAAGACTCGCGCGCGTAATTTTAGGAGAATTTGTCATTTGAACAGACTTTATTTGTAATAAAAACAACAACTTTTGTGTGTAAAAATAAGTTGTCTATGTTATATTATAGAGATAGCTCATAGAGAGCGTGCGTATATCCAGTTCTACATGCATTTGGGAGGCTGCTCATAAGCACTCAAAATAGCTAGAGTGTCACTTCGCTTCGCGTCGTGCCACTCTTACGCTATTTTTCGTCAGCTTAGTTAGAACTGGATATACGCACGCTCTCTATGAACTATCTCTATACAAGAAGCAAAACAAAAGAAAATGGAAAGAAAAAGTAGAGTGCAAACACATGAAAAGCACTACGAGCAAATAGTGTTGACTAGACAATGGAAAGTGCACCTTGTCTAAAACAATTCTTACCAATTACGAACCTTACCAATTCTTACCAATCTCTGTGATAGTTTGGTGATTATTTTGTAAACGGTTGGGAAGGAATCGAAAAAATAAAACCAAAATTAAGTGTGTCAAATTATTTTGTCCGAGCGGGGACTGGCGCGACCTTGTGACGTCATCCCAGTCCAAGACATTTGTTTCTGTCGAAGCTTCAAAGTGAATTTTATCGTGAGTCAATTCCAAAAAGCTTAATTTAACATCGATTTTTATTATTTTCGCGAATTAAATGCCCAACAAGTGTGTTGGTGGTGGCTGCAGTAACACACCAGTTATTTAGAAGGGAATCGACCTACAAGTTATCAAGTCATAGGCTTTTTCGGCGACGAACGACCCGAAGCAAGAAAGAGACTGAAGAAGTGGGTCGACTTTGCCAAAGTCAAGTGTGCCAAATGGGAACAGACCACAAACATTTGATTATATGCTCGGCCCACTTTAAAGTGGAATCGTTTGAAAAACGATTTTCGAGGCTTTCTAGATTGGAAAAGTCTAGTTACCCTCTTCTGACGCGAGACGGCACTTTTGGTGTCAAAAGCCCGCAAAAGACTAAATACCCGGCAGTCTTATTTTTTTTCTCACAACTGAAAAATATAAAGTCACTAAAGACAGAATGTACCATACCGCTATATATTTACTGAGAAATGTCAAGCGCAGCAAATTCTTTGGCCTCGGCACAGAATAGGCCAAACAGTCATTACGCTCGACAACCTCCAACCTCCTCGTTGTCGTTGCATGCTGTCCTAATATTGATTAACAGTTAGACTGCTAACGTCTTTTGTTGCGTTTATGTTCAATGTTTTTCGTTTGTAACCAATATATAGAATATACAACTTTTATTCGTGTCTGTTATCCGTGACTTGCTGAGTTCAGTGATAACTATGGAAATCCAATTCCGCACCTGCAATCCGAACACGTCCAAGCCATCCCACCAAATGCTTACCAAAGGTATTAATGCGGAAACTATTCTACATGCTTGTGTAAGGGCATGTTATGACTACAAGGTCATGCTTGCTATGCTCACTTAATACAAACAATGTTTCGAATTCTAAGGTTAAGTGGTGCTAAATGTTTAAATGCAAAAAGTGCTGACAATCTCGTCGCGTTACGAAAACTACCTTGTGCTAAGTTAAAAAGGTACAAGCAAGTTATTTTGCGTATATGCGTTACTTGTGAACTCTGTTTCTGCATGATTTGTGAATGCACTATGCATCTGAGAACATAAGGTGCGGTACGCACGACAAATTTTGCTGTTAGTTTTGTCAACTGCTTGCTTCCGTCCCAGAGTAAACTTACATGCTAAATGTTTTCTGCTGTCTACATGCGTACTTATTTTTTATTTCTTATTCCTTCAATCCGCGTTTCCTATGATCCAATTCATACCTATCTGTTTATTAAAAAAAAATATACCACTCCACTTACCATGTGATGTTTTGAGATTTTTTGGCTGCGCATTTACCAATATCTATCTCGTAACGATGATTCGCAGCTTGGCATAACTCTCTAAAACATGATCCTTGCCTAAGCATGACAGAACCAGCTGTCTTTTGTGCTTACCTTCATACAGTGCTCTCCATTTCGTTCAACGCAAAACCTATATAGTGCTTATGCACGTCTGCATGATTCTATAACGGGCTTTTAAACCGATTTCTTTGCTTCCTTCTCGTACTTTAACTTAACTATCTACGCCTGTCCCTTATTCTTATGTCAATACTTGTTTAAGCTATGCACGATTATTACTGGAACGAGAGTCTTAACTGTCATCTCAACGATTCTTAACTAAACGGAATTATCTCTATTTTCGTTCAAATATTTCAATTAATCTACTGTCTAAGCTATTCTCTGATGGTTCCCAGGTGTTGTCACTATTTGGATGGTTTGCCCATTTGACAAGGTACTCCACTTCACCTTTGCGAGTCCGTTTTTTTTCACAATCTTTTCGGCTGCGAACATTATCTATGTGGCTTGTGGTATCTTCTACCTTATCTGTGTCCTGCTGGGTTTCTAATTCTTCTGGTGGGCGTTCTGTATCTGGGTTGCAATTGTCTACAATATCTTGTTGAATGTCTATTGTATCGGTGCTTTCTAGGCTGCTGTCTATGAAACTACTACTTGGTATATCTGAGTAGTCTAAATACGGTTCGTCCTCGTTGTCTTCTTCTGGCGGATCAATTGGTCTCTCATCTGGATCGATCACGTGTTTCATTCTATTCGCGTGCATTGCAATTTAACTCTACTATTGCTTTCAGTGCGCAAAAAGAAGTGTACTGGAGGGCATGACTTTTTAAAAAATGAAATAAGCCGTTTTGCGTTACAAAGGCTGTTTTTAGTCGGACTAGCCGAAGGCGGTCCAACTTTAAATTTACCTTTTAGCCAATCTATCTATCTATCTATGTATTATGTCGCGTTTGGACCACCGGAAGTTAAGAATTTAATAATTTTAATTAAAACTATTGGGTTGGCTGTGTTATTACATGACCGGAAGCTCAAACGTATAGATGTACGATCTCAACAAGATGCCGTTATCTCGCTCTATAAAACCATGATCGCTTCAGGACCTTCAATCTTCATCTAGAAAAACTCCTGCGTGAATATTAACATGGTTTTCTTAATCCAAAAGACACAGAATCCCTTATAAAAATTGAACATTTAGGCTATGCAACTCAGAATCAGATAGCCACGTTGCGGAATTCACTCAGCTACGAAGTATCGGTTTACATCTCGCCAAGGAAAATGCCCTATTTGGCACGATACACCAACCTTTATGACCTAAACCAATGTCATTATATATGCTCTTACACAGATGAATGTTTTGGAATAACAAAAGACCTTGAATATCAAAGAATTACTGTAAAAGCTACAGTTACTCCCGAGCAGTTTAACTGTTCTATGATACGATTGTTTACAGCTGAGTGCATAATGTGATATTTCGTTTAGAGATCGTAGGGCGATCGGGAGACCCGAAGGCAAACTTCTGACTTGGAAAAAAAATAGCAAAATTTTGCGCGCTGCATTTTATGGCCTAGGGACAGGTCACGAGTAAACAGCTAGTCCGACTTCACGCTCCAAGAGCGTCTAGTTTCCTTTGCGTTTGAGCCCTCAATTGCAGGTCTTCGCAGAAAATTATTATTTATTATTTATTTTTATTTATTTTTAATTTTAATTTTTTATTATTAATTATTAATTATTTTTTCATTTTTCAAGTTTTAAGACATAACATCAATCTCATGTATTTCTTGTTTAGTGACCCCATAATGGGACATTTTAGAGTATTTGAAATGATTTAACTTGGTCACTTTGCTTATTAAATTTGTCATTATTATTTGGAGAGAGAGCTTGCTTTTGTTTTTCAGGGTTTTCCAGAGCCTATTATAACTATAAGCTGCCAGTCGAGTAGGGTCTGTCTTAATTGGTCTGCCTGTGGCATCTCACTTGATGAAGAGCACTGGGAGTGACTTTACTTCCGCTTTTTAGCATAGACTGACCATGGCGGATCCGAATTTTGATAAACAGCAATTTAAGTACAATTGGTTTAAAATTACAGCCGCTGAATATATAGAACGTCACTTAAACGAGAGAAATGTCGATCTGCAAAGTTTTAAATCAGCTTTCTTCAACTTGAGACCCGATTCAGAGAGAATAGACCGGGAGATAAATGAAGCTGAGACAATCAGGAATGTCTTGCTGACCCTGGAAAACCATAATTTCTTCAGTATGAATGATGTATCACTTTTTGAAAGTTTAGCGAGGCATCGACAGATGAAGGACTTACAAAAAGCTGTTGAATTGTATCGTTCTAAAGGTATTTTTGAAATTCATACTTGCTTTGCTTTGTAAAGTAGCATACAATTGAAGTCGTTTGATTGTAGTTGCATTTGGGATTTCCTGGTGTGTATTCCGTCGTCAGAACAATAAACGTGTTTAAGAATAATATGATTTATATAAACAGTAGATGCTTCTTGTATGTCGCCGTCTTGAATTCAACTAGACGCTCTTGAGCTTGGTTCACCGAAATAGTCCTCGAATTTACAGGAGCTGATATATTGCCAAATATGAACGACTCAATTTATCAGCGAATTCGTTTAATTCTTTTTTCGTGTGCTCATTAACAGTTGACAACTGACTTCTGTAGGTTCCGACTCTCTCTACACTTCACATTAGCAATTAGCAAGAGAGGAATAAAAGAACTCGCACTTCGAATTCTATTCGACCTATTCGACTGAGGCGGGTAGGGTTACAATGTTGGTAGTAATCAGTCATTGTAAAAGATGTAAGTCATCACCTAACAAGAGGCATCACTGAATCGAGGGAGGGGAGGTTAGAAAAATTAGATGATAGAATACTTTGAACATGCAATGGGGTTCATTTGCGACCACAGTTTTGTCTCCGATATTAGCTTCCCTTTGAACGCGGGAAATGGTCTTTTATGGTTGTATGGAACTTATTTTTCTCTTGAGGTTTCTATTTACAATAACGGAGTGTCTAAACGTCAGGCAGCCTGATTAGTCCCAAGAACTAAACGTGAGGCAGTCGGATTTTTGTTTTGAAAAATAGCCGGAACAACAGTAATTTCAACTAATACAACAAGGGAAATGCGCGCAGTAAAGACTGTTCGACAAGTTTGTATAGTCACATGCACGGCACTTTGAGATT